ACCCTATGTCTTTTGATTGGAGCATTTAGTCCGTTTACATTCAGTGTTATTATTGGAAAATATGGGTTTAGAGCCATTGTGTTCTTTGTAGGATTCAAGCTTGTGGTGGTGTCTCTGGTACCTTGCATTCCTTGCAACATTTCCCTCATAGAGTCCTCCTCAGGACTCTTGTAGGGCTGGTTTAGTGGCAACGAATTCTTTCGATTTTTGTTTATTTGGGAAGACTTACCTCTCCTTCTATTCTGAATGACAGGCTTACTGGATAGAGGATTCATGGCTGCATATTTTTTCTGTTCATCACATTGAAGATTTCCTGCCATTCCTTTCTGGCCTACCAAGTTTCAGTAGATAAGTCTGTAACCACTCTGATAGGTTTCCCTTTGTATATGAAGCTCCTTTTACCCTACCTGCTTTCAAAATTCTCTTTGTCCTTATATTTTGTCAGTTTCACTATGATATGTAGTGCAGAAGATCGATTCAAGTTATGTCTGAAGGGAGCTCTCTATGCCTGTTAGATTTCATTGTCTGTTTCCTTCCCCAGACTGGTGAAGTTCTTTGCTATAATTTGTTCAAGGACTCCTTCAGCACCTTTCCCTCTCTCTTCCTCTTCTGGAATTCCTATGATATGGATATTGTTTTGTTTGATTGTATCACTCAGCTCTCGAACTCTCTTTTCGTGTTCCTGGATCAGTTTAGCTCTCTTTTTCTTGGCTTCCTCTTTTTCTATAATTGTGTCTTCTAATTCACCTATTCTTCTCTCTGCCTCTTCAATGTGCATTGGATGCCTCTGTTTTATGATGCATCTCATTTTTAGCATTTTTTAATTCATCACAACTATTTTTAAGCTCCATAGTCTTTGTAGCAATAGTTTCTCTGATGTCCTCCATGCATTTTTCAAGCCCAGTGATTAATTTTATAACTATTGTTCTAAATTCTTGTTCAGTTATGTTGCTTATATCTGTTTTGAGTAGTTCTTCAGCTGTCATTTCTTCCTGGAATTTCTGTAGAGGAGAGTTCTTCCGTTTCATCATTTTGATTAGCTTTCTGTCTCTTATTAGTTTTAAAAGCTTGTTATGCACTCTGCACCTGTGAGTACCTCTGTATTAAAGAAGGCTCTTTGAGTGTCCAGGGCCTGTCCTTTCAGGAAGTCTTCTTTGAATGGTGTCTCTTGGTCTGTCTTGTTGAGACTTTGGTTATTTTATTTCCCTACTCATAATGGTATTTGAGACTCTCCACCATGTGTACTTTGGCTTGTTTCTTGAGGTAGCCCTATAAGGTTTTCTTAGTGGACTCTGTCTCCTTTTCCTCCCAAACTCCTGGATTCTGTAAGGGTTCCGAAGGCTTCAGGCCTTCTCCGTTTGAGAGATGGAGGCAAGTGAAATGTACGGGACTCCCTACTTCTCCACCATCTTGCCTCCTTCCCCAAAATAATTTTTTTTTAATGAGATGAGAGTGACAACGTATTATAGGGGGTAAGGGTACAGGCTCTGAAGACCTGTGGAAACTGTGCCTCAGTTTGTCAAATTGCTCTAGAGATAATACTACAATACCTATGGTGTGGTAATAATTGTTCTACAGATTAAATGAGATGACAAGTGTCTAAGGGTGCTTACAGCAGGATATGGCACAAAAACATTTTTGTTAGTTGTTTTTAACACGAGTATTGATATGAAGTTAGCTACATATTATATAGAGAAAACCCCACAAAGTTCAGAACGGTATGTATAGTACCCTATCATTTATGTAATCCAAAGGTGAATGTGTAAGTATAGAATATTCTAGAAGGAATCTCAATTCAAATGATAATGGCTACTTAGGATGGGAAAAATTTGAGAAGAAAGGGAGAATTATTTCCCATGTGTTCGCTTTTGTACTGATTAATTTTTCTTCCCATTGAGTGTATTAACTTTGTCTTAAACTTTCTGTATAAATTTTTTTTTATGTTTTATTTATTTCTAGGAGAGAGAGACAGCGTGAGCAGGGGAGGGTCAGAGAGAGAGGGAGTCACAGACCGAAAGAGGCTCCAGGCTCTGAGCTGGCAGTCAGCACAGAGCCCGACGCGGGGCTCGAACCCACGAACCGCGAGATCATGACCTAAGCGAAAGTCGGACGCTTAACCGACTAAGCCACCCAGGCGCCCCAAAACTTTCTGTATAAATTTTTAAAGATTTTAAAATATAAAATTTTAAAATATTTAGAATTTAAGATGATGAGGGACTGGACACTGAGAAGAAAACAAGCAGAGGACATCATATGGTTCCTGAGAATAAAACCTAGATAAGGTCTGCCCTTGGTTGGTTTTTTTTTTTTTAATATTTATTTCTTTTTGACAAAGAGAGAGTGCATGCAAGGTGTAGAAGGACAGACAGAGGGGGGACAGAGGATCCGAAGGAGGCTCTGCACTGAGAGCTAAGAGCCAAATGTGGGGCTTAAACGCACAAACCATGAAATCATGACCCAGGCTGAACTTGGACATTTAACTGCCTGAGCCACCCAGGCACCCCTGACTTTGGTAGGTTCTTAAAATGAAGATCAGTTGAGTGAGGAAGTTAAAGACACAAACCGCCTATAAGAATATGAAAAAGTACCACATCTGTTTGACAAAATAATATATACAAAACTAAGATAATAAGATTGCATATTTCACCTATTCAATCAGCAAAACATCACAAAGAAAATGATAAACCCCAGTGTTGGCAAAGCTGCATGTAAACACGCACTTCTGCAAATGGAAACAAATTTTCTGGAAAACAGTTTGCAATTATACTAAAAGCATGGCAATACAACCTGCCCTTTAGCTCAGGCCATTTCATGCCTACTATTATGCTCAAATAATTGCAGATGTGGAGAAAGATGTATCTATAAGGGTATTCAAGACCACATTGCTTATAATAGTCCTCCCACTACCACACCAAAACAGAAACAACTTGGATGTCCACGAATAAGTCATGATTTAAATAAGTTGTGTTGTGTTATTACATTGAAATGTTTTACAAAGCATACAAAAGATATTGTCAAAGAATTTCTAGTTAAATTGAAAAAATATTCATGACATAAGTAAGTGAAAAATGGCTCTAAAAATTAGGTAGATGGTAGGCTTCTGTTTTTGTAAATATGCACATATAAATGTGCACAGTAGATATTAGATGGTGTATTAACGGTTTCAATATATGAAATATTCATCCTTCCTAGTAACTGTAGTAATGCTTCATAAGCCACATTAAGTGGTCAATGTTAATACCCCCAGTATACAGATGAGGAAACAGATTCATACAGGTTGTGTAACTTGACTAAGGTCACACGGCTTATAAGTGAAAGAGCTGGTGCTTGAGCCCACAGATCTAGACAGTGCGCTGTTCTGTCCTGGGCACTGGACCAAGCACACAAAGAGGTGCTCAGGGAATGTGTGTGGGAAGGATGAAGGAGACTGGTAGAGAAAAAGGGAAGGAGAGACTGCACCTGGTGCCTTTGAGTGTTGAGATTTCCGCATTGACGCTGGAAAGCTTCTGCCTCAGGATACACAACGTGCAAGTCAGGAGGATGAAATTGATCTACAAAATCAAGCAGAGAGGACTGAGATATCGGGCAGACAAATGGGCAATGGCCACACCACCTGTCAAAAATCCATAGTGTGCGGTACCCACTCCAGGAAGCCCTACAGCAATCAACACTTAACACCAAGCTGTTGACTGTTGGCTGACAGCCTCCCTGATTTCTTCCCTCATTTCCAAGTTAGAACCCAACAGAAAAAGCTGACACGCTCCCCTAAGCATTCACATTGGGTGCCCTGCTTTGAGTTAGCCTGCATCTAGAGTCCCAGTGCCTACAGCCTCCAAGCAGGCACACCGGAAGCCTTCCCTTTTCCCCTAAAAACCTTCTGATGCCTCCCCCTGCTTCTGAGTCTCTACTAAGTGCAAGTCATGGTGCCCGACTCCCTTCCTATAGCAATAAATAGTCTTTACTTGTTCTCATTTGGGGGATCGCCATTGATTTCCACCCCACATGGATGCGTGTGGGAAGTTAGACTCAAGATTGATGCCTTGTTGGGGTTGAACTGTTGAACCCCCAGGGCCTCAGAATGTGATCTTATTTGTAGCCAGAGTCTTTACCAGAGGTGATCAAATTGAAATGAGCTCATTAGGGCAGATCCTAATTCCACATGACCTTACAAAATGGAAATTTGGACACAGAAGCAGACATGCACAGAGAAAGCAAACATGTATAAGCCAAGGGACTCCGGAAGTTAGAAGACTGGAATGGAGGGGCACATGGAGGCTTGGTTGGTTGAGCGACTGACTATTAATTTATGCTCAGGTCATGATCCCAGGGTCACGGGATCAAGCCCCACATCAGGCTCTGCCGAGTGTGGAGCCTGTGTAGGATTCTGTCACTTCCTATCTCCATCTCTCTCTCTTTCTCCCCCTCCCCTCTCTCTCCCTCTCCACCACATTCTGCCACTATCCCCCTGCCTGCTAAAAATAAAATAAACAAAACTGGAACAGATCCTTCATTTGGGCTTCAGAGGGGACATGGCCCTGTCCACCCATCAATTTTACACTTGCAGCCTCTAAAACTGGGAATGGTAAAGTTCATGGAAGGCTTCCTGGAGGATGCTAAATTCTGTTGTTCTAAGCCACCCAATTAGCGATACAGTGGACACTATGTCTGTGATACACAATTCTTATTTGCGAGCTTTATTTTTACCTCAATAAAGCTGAAAAAAATCTCTAGGCTTCCCTTTCTACCATCCCACTGTTTTCTTCTACCCCAACACCACTAATTCCTCTTCATTTCTTTCTTCGTTCTCTCTCATTCAACATCTACCCTCAAGAGACGTCAATAGACCTATTCCTACTGAAACATAAAAGACAGATCAGATTGAGCTCCCCTCCAGGCGATTTGCATGTTGGCAGAGGGAAAAAAAAAATCACAAGTCAAAGAAATTGCACTCTAAATTTGAAATCTCAAGAACCAGGGATCAGAGGGGAGGACGTTTGACCTCAGCCAGGCACACTGCACCAAGCAACTTGCTTTACCGTGATGATAACGCAGACCGGCCCCAGAAAACTCCAGATGAATCCTGTGCTTGGGTTCAGCCAGCAGCTACGAAGACAAACAGGAGTCAGCGCCTGTTTAACTCCTGACCCTACAGTCACTCCCTCTCTCCCCCAAAATGCACTAATGGAGGATATTACAGGAAGCAGATCCTGAGATGAAAAGTCTCATGACGGGTTGGGTGACACTTCAGTTTTCTTTGGACCGCAGCGAGTCTGCTTTCAGACCTTCTTCCTGGGTGAATGTTCCTGAAGTGATCACTTGATGCCCTGCGCAGAGCTTGCTCTCAATATGTAACCTTTGCCATCTCTTCCTCTCTGCTCAGACCTCTCTACTGGCACACCTGGTCATTCAAATCTCAGCTCGAATGCCACCTCATCTGAAAAGCCACTTGGGACCCTCCCTACCCCTGGTTTTTCTCTAGCAGACCATGCTGCTTTCATTATTTATTTTTAAATAGCATCTACTGGTGTCATAAATTATTGTGGTGATTAATTCCTTGAAAACTGTCCATCTCCCCCTTCCAGACTATGAGCTGTATGAGAATCTTAAATGATACTTACCAGCACACTACCCTAAATCATCTCGCACAGACCCGTGTGATAAACAGACCTTGCTCTAAAACAGACAATGGTGATGATGATGATGATAATGATGATGATGATGATGGCACGTCTAGCGCTTTACACTGTGACAGACAACATTCTGAATGTTTTGCAGATAATAACTCATTTAACCCTCACAACACTAAGATGTCGGCATTGTTGTTTGCCTCTATTGTATGGGTAAGGAAATGGAAGCCTACAGAGGTTAAGTAACTTGCCTAAGGCACAGCCAGAAGGTCATGGAGCAAGGATTCAAACCCAGGCAGGTTGGTTTCAGAATCCAGATTTCAAAGCTGCACAACCAAGTTTCTTTCATTGGTTACACCGCCACCATTCACCTATTCTACAGGTCAAACAGTGGCTCCTGGATAAGTGCAGTGTACAAGAGGTGCAAAAGACCATGGCAGCCCTGAGACCCACAAGCCATAAAGGGCTCAAGAAATGATTGACACAATTACCACTACTGTTATTGCTCTTCTTCTTGTTCACATAATTATCATCATGGACCTTGACAGCAGGGTGTTCAGGGAGACAGAGTGGTCGCGCTTACCGATTATGCATCCCATAGTCCTGTGGTTGCACGACGGCAGAGATGGCCACCACCAGCCCTGGGAGCCCGTAGCCAAAGGCACAGATGTACCACATCTTGATGTTGTGAGAGCTGAAGTAATTCATCATCTTCAGGTTCCTGACCATTAGGAAGAGCATCACAGCCTCCACCAGCATCCAGAAGAAGCAGGCCAGGAAAAGGTAGTGCAGGAAGCCTGCAATGACGGCACAGCCCATCTGGAGAAGAGAAGTGTGCACACTCGAGACCCCTGGCACCTCCAAGGGGCAGGTTCTCAGACACAGTGGGGCTGCTCCTTTGATTGGAATTTCCCCTTATCCATCCCTTTGGTAGGGGAACCAGTGGAATGTATGGAGTTTGGAAGCATCTCTAGTCTCCACTGGAGGTCAGTAGCGCCCTCTCCCAGGGATTACCATCGATCAAGTCTCTAGATATTACTGAGTGTCCCCTACAGAAAGAATCATCCAAGGCAAGAACCAGTGGTTTTAACAGTAAAAGGAGAGACCACCACAGTATATAACACGACCAGGGAAACAATTTTAAACTGACACCTATCACAAGAGTGCATAAACCAGGTAAAGAATTGGGGAACAAGTATCATCAAAAGGGGGTATAGCACATGCAAAGGTACTGAAGTGGGAACTAGCATAGAGATTATTGGGTAGGATGAGCAGGGGCAGATGTGGAGATGATGGGGCTGGGTGAGGACACAGCCTGAGGGATGTGAGACCTGGTTGTCAGTCTTGTCTACACCGGCGAGGAAGAGCGCCTTGGCCAAGAAGAGGCACACGCAGAGGTGCAGGTGGAGGTAGGTGTTCTGGTTGCGAATGGCACGACACAGGAGGAAGGTGGCGATGGCCAAGACGAGACACACCAGGGAGAAGATCAAGCCCACGAGGCTAATGATGTACAGGGAGAACTCCGTCTGTCAGGAAACAGATACATCATTCAGAGAGGGGCCAACATCCCTCCAGACAGAAAAAAGAAAAAGAATTATCCAGACTCCTGAAAGGGTTCGAGGACCTTTTCTCCTTCGACACTCAGAGTGAAGGAGGTGCTGTCCATCGCCATCCTTTGCCCTCCATCAACACCCATTCCCATCTGGTCCTGTGCCTCACCCATGCCATACCAGGGCAGGGTGTCTACAAACTACATTTCCCAGAATCGCCTGGGGGTACGGTGTCCTTCAGGTTTCCCAGGGAGATGTATGCATGAGGTTTTTAGAAGGCAGAAAAGAGGGAGCCACCAGCCTTCTGTGGACAGGAGCAAGCGATGGCTGGGCTCCGTGCTCTAGCTGTCCCCTCTTCCGTTGGCAGCAGCAATTTCTGTCCTCTGGTTTACAGCTGCAAGGGGTGATCTTGAAGCCAGACCCCAGGTGGCAACCTCTGATTCCAACCTCCTCCATCCCTCCCCATGATTTTGTGACCATCCTGTCCCTTGCCTGAAATTCGTAGAGTGATCATTGTTTCCTGCACTGAACTGGCACTGCCACAGTGACGTTCAGGAATGCCCCGATTTCTGGGAGCAGACATGGCACACTGAGCCCTTCCCCTATGCTGTCAATCATAACTGATATAAAAGTTTCCAGGTCCTTCTGGGAAGATGTGCCAAGGCACCATCTCACAAGCTACTCCCTATGATTCTGTTACGTGGTGGCGAAGAGAACGGACTATCGTTCTGCAAGTTCCTAGTTGTATGAGCCTGGGAAAGACACTTAACTGCCCTGTGTCTCGGTTTCCTCATCTGTTAAAAGAGGATCCTAATGAATATACTAAACGATACTAAATGGAAAGACTTCAAGTGCTCACAGCTGTGCAGGGAACACACTACCTGCCCTCCACTGAGTCTACTCCACTCACCAAGGCTCGCTTCACCCACCCTGCCCCGCCCCATCACTAGCTCTCACTGACACACTTCTGGATCCCTATTGCACCACTTCTCGCCCCATTTGCTTAGTTTTGTGGAAAGAGACCTCTGGAGACAGTCTGTCCTGGGTTCAGGTCTCATCTGCACCCATTTAGTTTTCTGAGTAAGTGGGCTATGGAGCCTCAGCCCCCATCCTGTAAAATGGCCTGAAAACATTTACCTTAAAATAAAGGGTCCAACACAGGCTATCACGCTCTACGAATGGGATCTGTCATTATTAACTCATTCAGGGGTCATTTCTCCTTGTATATGGGAGTTTCATGACTTTGCAGCCAAACTATGAATTCTCCAAGGGCAGAGGCACACCCTGTCTGTCCCCCATGACTGTGCCCCACAACACCCAAGGCCATGGGAGACACACAATGGATGTTCATTCACAATATTTTCCCCTCGGATTTGGAGACCCAGAGCAGAGAGAGTCAGTACTGACTGTGAGCTCCCCAGAAGCCATGACGACGGCCAGGTTCATCATCTGGTTACAGCTGCACACAGTATGCATCTCAGAAGCTTCACGGATTGCACAGCCAGAGTGTATCCACCTGCCACCTTCCATGTCCGTGTCCCAGGAAACGCAGATAGGTGTCTCAAATGGCTGCTTTGGCTGTAAATGTAAAGGCTTGGGTCACCTGAGACTCTCTCTCAAATGGATTCAGTATGACCAACTTCAGGGGTCATCTAGGACAAGAATATGCAGGTATGTTTGGGAGGGAATGGAAGGAAATGTAATACTTCAGTGTGTGAGGATGGAGAGAAAGATCTTGGATACCAGATCTGCCTCTACTACTGACTTGGTCATAGCTAATAAAGTCCCTGTAAATGTTCCTGCATCAAAATTCTTAATCTGAGCCCAATCTTGCCCAGTGATGAATGGGTGATTATACGCATTATATGGTATATGATATATATATTCTATGTGCTATATATTACGCACGCTATATATCATATATGCTCTATATTATACACGCTAAATATTATATATGTTATATATAATACATGCTATACATTGTATACTCTATATATAATATATGCTATATATTATATATGCTATATGTTAATGTGCTATATATATTATATATGCTATTTATATTGTAACATATATATGATTATATGCACTATATATTATATATGGTATATATTATATGTACTATATATTACATATGCTATATATCATATATGCTCTATAATATATATGCTGTATTTTATACACGCTGTATATTATATATGCCATATATTATTAGCCATATATTACATGTCCCACATAGTATATATGCCATATTATACACACTATATATCATGTATGCTATATATTATATGCTCCATATATTATATATGCTATATAAAAAGCTATATATAATACATGCTATATATAATACACGGTATACATTAATTACACTGTATATTATATACGCTATATACTATATACGCTATGTGCTATCTATACTATGTATGCTATATATATTTTAATATATATATGAGAGACCAATCCTCTGGAAGTGGACTTTGGGGATCGGCTTGAGTTACTAGGAACTGTTAGTTGTCTAGAAGCTGATACCTTCATGGGTCTCTATCAGATATGAAAGTAATGCCCACTGTGGGGTGAGGTGTTGTCAACTGGAAGATAGGGGCTCAACAAGAACCTCTTCACAAACCTCGATGTTCTCCAGCGTGTAAATGACTGGGTTAGAGAACCCATCTTGCTTCTCCCCAGTCATGATGCCCTGCACAACGCGAGAATTTATCTTCAGCTTCCTTTGGGACTTGGTGAAGGGGGTCTGAAGGTCTTGGAAGAAGCTCTCATCTAAAAACGACTCCATCCCCGAAAAGGAGACAAAAGCCACTCCAGTGGTCCCTGTGATTTTCCCCAAATGCAAAAAAAAAAAAAAAAGAAAAGAAAAAAAAAGAAACAGGAATCATTTGCTAAGTAGTGATTATTGAGGACCCAACATGTACACACACATAGACACTCTAATACCCCATGCATTTCTGGGCCTCCATGCACCTGCTGTGAGCACTGCAACACCATGAGAGCCAATGGACTTCTAGGTTGGTGACCTTCACCAGCACCAGTGCTACCCCCTGGACACATGTTGGCTACATTTAAATATAAATATGGGGGCGCCTGGGGGGCTCAGTCGGTTAAGCATCTGACTTTGGCTCAGGTCATGATCTCATGGTTTGTGGGTTTGAGCCCCATGTCGGGCTTTGTGCTGACAATGTGGAGCCTGCTTGGGATTCTGTCTATTCTCTGTCAGCCCCTCAGTGGCTCTCTCTCTCTGCCTCTTTCTTTCTCTCTCTCATAAATGAAGAAAGAGTATAAAAGTTTTAAATAAATATGACTTTATGTCTTTAAGGCACAATCAAACTGAGCACTAGGAAATAAGTTCCCCTCCCACACTGATGGTTAATCTTGCTTCCCCTCTCAATGCTGGTGGTCTTCAGAGACGTCTCTGGCTGCTCCCTGAGCCCTCCACACAGCATCTAGATCAGAGCGTGGCAAACCATGGCCCATAGGCCAATCTGGCCACTGCCTGCTTGGTATAAATGAAAGTGTTTCTGCAACACAGCCATGCCCACTCATTTACATATCATGTATGAGTGTCTTTGCTCTCTGAGAGACACTATTGCCCTCAGTGTCTAAAATATTTACTAATCCGCCCTCTACAGGACAAGCTTGCCCATCCCTGGTACAGATCAGAGCTTTCCACTAGAATTAGAACATGAATCACCCAGGCAATTTTAAATTTTCAGATAGCCAGATTGCACGAAAGTCAAAAACAGATAAAATTAATTTTAATAATACGTTAACTCAATACATGCAAAATATTATCCCTTCACCTATAATCCATCAAAAAAAATATGAATGAGACTTTTCCCAACCTTCGTTTTCTTTTTTACCAAGAATTTGGAAACTGGTGTGTACTTTACCAGATTTTAAAGTACAGCCTGGCCACATTTCATGTGCTCAATAAGAAAACGTGGCCAGTGGTGCTGTACCAGTGATGGTCTTGACACTCCAATATTGTGAGAGTGTTTATGTATCTAATATCTGACTTCCCCAGGGCACTGGCCTCATCTCACTAGTCTTGGAACTTAAGAGTTGGCTGATAAGTGTATGCTGATTGAATACACCTTTGATCTCCTCTCTGGTCTCAGGAGCAGCTTTGTACCTATATATCCAGATTCCTTGATGGTAGAACATCCAATCTTCATCTCATTCCCTTTGGCTTTGAAGAGAAAGATCTCATTCTCTTCAGTGCATTCTTCCTTGATGATCTTGCTTTCAATTTCTAAAAGAACACAGGGAGAATTTGTACCAGATTCCCCAGAAAGTAAGTCCTAAATCTTCTTTCTTGTCCCACAAAGTTCTGTGTACCTAGTTCCAAAGAATCAAAATGGCCAGCTCATCACAGGGAAGACCTTGAGCCCCTAGGTGGGTTGATAGGAGGATTATGAAACCAATGAGAAATCCAGGTGGAGCCTAGAGAGGGCCCCTCAAGTCTTAGGGGTCCATCAGGGAAAGCTGGTGTTGAGGTCATCAGAGATGGAAGGCAACAGAGTCCTGATCTTCCGGCTGCTCTAAATGGTGACACGTTTTCTGAAGCCAAAGGGGTTAGGAAGGGGCTGAGCGAGCACACAGAATGGACCAGGGCTCAGAGTCTGCATCCAGCTCTGCCCTGCACCAGCTGAGCAAACAGGACCAATGACTGAACTTCTCTGAGCCTCGGGTCTCTCGCCCGTGACATGGCACTAATTACAGGGGTCCTCATGAAAACAAAATAGGTGATGGAACCGGAAGTATCCTTTTAAAACATAAACCGGATGATAGCATATGCCTGTTCTCAAACTCTCCCGTTTCACACCCACCCCAATCTTACTCCAAATAAAATCCTGAGTCCACCCACCTCTCCTCTTCCTTTCTGACCTCTTCTCCTAGAGCCTTGATGATTCTCTCCTGCCTATGGCCACACTGGCCTCCTCTTTGTTCCTTGAACTCACCAAGTATTACTGGACTTTTGCTCTGTCTCCAAATACATCCACAGCTCCATTCCCTTTGGGCCTGCCCCAGTGACACTTGGCCTCCTCACACCATATAAACTGATGATGCTTCCCCCTAGCCTGACCCCCTCTAGCTGACTTAGCTTATTTTTCACAATAGCACTCTATCTCATATATGAGATCTTTGTTCATGGTGGGGCTCAGATAGTTGTTGAATGAATCAGTGATGCACTCCCACACACCCTTAACTCAATGCCAGGCACTCAGCAAATGGAGATGCAGTTACTATCCTGGGACTTGCTTCTCTGTGAGCTCCGAGGTTTGAAACAGTTGGGGAAATGATATACGGCGAAGCCACCGGGCACAGCATTGCCCACGCCCCACCCTTCAACAGCAGCACCCAGATGGAACCTTGCCTCCTCACCTAAGTGCTCCATCTGAACACTCTGAGTCACCTTGCCTAAGGGTTTCAGGAAAGCTGCTAGGGTGCTGCTTTTCACAGTCTCCAGGAGGACAGAGGCCAGAGTGGATGTCTCTTCTTTGGTGAAGTTGGACCATGTGGATGCTTGTTCAAGCACAGAGGTAAGGCTCTCAGCCGTGCTCTGCAAGGAAAGGTGTGTTTGTGCACGTACCCTCTCTCCCTCTTTCCTGTGCCCCAGATAACAGCTCTCCTCCTTCCCAGCCTCCCTCTTTCCCTCTCTCTCCTCCTCTCTCTCCCTCCTTCTCTCTCTCTCCCTCTCAAATTGGTGTGGCCTTTTAAGTCAGTACCTGGAATAGCACTGCTTACACCTAGCTCTGACTCAACATTTCCCTTCCTGGAATTTATCCTCCAAGAAATGTGTAAAAACGGCAAGGATCTTGTCCAGGGATGTTTGTTTCAGTTGGTTTCTGATAGCAAGAAGTTGGAAAGGCTAAATGTCCAACAGATTGGCTAAAACAATGACTAAATCCGATCACAGAATAGTAGGCAGCTGTTAACAAAACAGTGATCTCACACACACATATTAACAAGCAAAAAGATCAGTGAACTTTTGTTAAGTAAGGCAAAATTCAAAATAACATAGATATTATCTCATTTCACTTAAAAAACAAATACTTTCATTAACATTTTTACATCTATGATGTTATTGTTTCTGGCATACAGAGAGAAAAATCATTAATACTTTCTTATCAGCCAGGTATTAAGTATCTTATGTATGTTAATTAAGTTTTAGAAAGAAATCTATGAAGTAGAAACTATTATTTCCATTTTTGGGTGAGGAAACAGAACGCTTACAGGAGGTGGGAGAAGTAAGACTTGAACCTTTGTCATCTTCATCAGAGCTTGAATTCCTCTAGTAAGTGCTCACTTACTAGAAGTAAATGGCTTCAGTATGAGTGTGTGTGTGTGTGTGTGTGTGTGTGTGTGTGACATGCATTCACAAAGTGAAGGGATATGGGTACACATCCAAATGCTAACATGGATTATGTCAGAGGAATAGAGTTAAGTAAAGAATAGCAATAGCAATATTGACATCAATGTCAACATAATTCCTTTTATTGATTATTGTCAATAAACTGGCTTATACAGTGACTTTGACCCCAACGAGAAAATACGTGTAAGGGATTCACAACTTAATAAATACAAGGAAGAAAGTAATTGATTCCAGTCATATAGGGAAGGAAACGGACTGAAATCCAACTGGGAATACCAATTTTTATCTATCCAAATTGGATCAAAAAACATGAAATGAATTTCCATAAAAAATGGATGAGGGTGTAACTTGAGAGATGTTTGTTCTGGGAAAACATGACGTAACCGTATCCCAGGAGACCCTAGGGTCCCTCCCCACGACATACAGAAATGTCTCAGAATCATCCTGGAAATCGTGGTCCTCAATTCTACAGCTGAGGAAATCTCCTTACAACTCCCTTTGAGCTGTGCAATCTATACTTAGCTGCAAAGTTTATTTCATTTCCTTCAGAAAGTAAAATATTAGTAGACAAATGAAAATCCCACATGGTTATTACTTCTGTGTTAGATTTACAAAGTTTTCTGATCTTCTCATACTCTCAGAAGGGGGTGAACTCACGATTAACCACGTGAGTTCGCTGACTAATGCCATTAGATGTGGGATGAATGTATGTTTCGTATGAACAATTTCAAAGAACACAACTATTGAGGGAGCCTGGAATTGCCCGAGGGGGTTGCCTGGCAAGCTGTGTCTAAGGCAATTTCAGCGGGGCGCACGGACGGGGATTTGGAGATTGGAACTGGCCTGGGTTGAAGAGTGCAACCAACTTCGGCTGCGTCCCCGGAACGGGCAGTTGACACGCCCAAAAAAGCGAGTTGCAGCGCGGGGTTCAAGAAGGGACTGGAGCACCGTCACTCTCCTCCCC